GTGGATGTCGCGATAGTCGGGGCAGTGGCGGTACTGAGTGCGAAACTCGTCGATCACCGAGTGGTGGACGGTGGTAACCGAGATGGAAGAGAGTTGGATGTGCTCCTGGTCGTGGTCAGGGCGCCGGGATAGGGCATCTGCGACCCGATTAGTCTCACCATTGATGTGCTCAGTGGTGAAACTAAACTCGGATAGGTCGCGCCACCAGCGAGCCTGTCGAGGAGTGAGCTTCGGCTTTGTCAGAAAAGCCTAGACAACAGAGTTGTCCGTGCGCACCGTGAATGGTGCCCCGTGCAGGTAGTGATGCCAGTGTCAAGCAGCATAAACTACTGCGAGAACCTCACGTTCATCAGCAATGTAGTTTATCTCGGTGGGCAGGAGCTGACGGGAGTAGAAGGCTATCAGACAATCACCGGAGCGAGACTCGACAGTGCCGTCCTCGGCGATGGTAGGAGAATAGTCAATAGAAGGTTCGTCTGTAGCTGGACGAGTAGGCGTCAGTCGGGAAGCAGTGGTAGGGGTAGGTGGTGGGAAGCGAGGGATACGAGGATAAGAGGAATCAGGAGAGGAGGGGAAGACCTGAGAAAGCACTGCTCCTACAGCAAAGTCTGACGCATCGGTGGTAAGGATAAAAGGGCGGTCAAAATCGGGTAGGTGAAGAACCGGTGCGCATGTCACCGCCTTCTTGAAGGCGCGGAAGGCGTCCTCGTGGAGGGGTTTCCAAGCCCAGGGTGGGTTCTTCCGGAGGAGGGTGGAGGTAAGGACGTAGGAATACCTAGCGTATCCCCGGATGAAGTTACTATAGTAGCTGGTCAGGCCTAGGAAGATGCGAAGCTGCTTGGCGGATGTGGGGGCGGGCCACTCCGCAATAGCAGTGATCTTCACGTCGTCCATGTGGAAACCCTGGTTAGACACGTAGTGTCCTAAGAAATCCACTTTGTGCTGGGCAAAGCGGCACTTGCTCAGCTTGGCGTAGAAGCCATGTCTGCGCAAGCGGTCAAGGACGTCGCGGAGGTGTCTGAGGTGCTCCTCGAGGGTACGACTGTAGACTAGGATATCGTCGAGGTAGACGAGAACGTACTGCTCCAGGATGTCCCTGAAGATGTCGTTCAGCACCCTCTGGAAGGTGGCGGGTGCATTGGTGAGGCCGAATGGCATCACCGTAAGCTCGTAGTGGCCGAAGCGTGATCGGAACGCTGTCTTCGGTTGGTCGGCTGCAGCGACGCGGATCTGATGGTAACCGCTACGAAGATCAATCTTCGTAAAAAAGCGGTTGCCTGCTAGGCGGTCGAACAGCTCATCGGAACGAGGCATGGGGTAGCTGTTCTTAACCGTGTAGCGGTTGAGACCTC